AGCTTCTAAGCCAACCATACTCAACATGTAGGTCTCTTCCAGATAAAACATAATCTTGGACTTGAAAATATGTAAAATCAGAGAAAAATGCCTATGTCAAATTAGAAGATTGTCCATTATTTTTAATTAATTAACTGATTAATTTCAGACTATTACAAGGGTACAAAAGTTTTGCTTAAAAAATTGCTTTTGTACTATTTGTGTCAAAGTTATAACTGTACTTATCCCACAGATAGTGTGCATGTTACTCATTAGGTGTGAATTTAACCACCCATCCCCCCTCCCACCTGCTTGATTTCCGATGAATGTTATTTCCATATGTGCACACAAGTGTTGATCATTTACTTCCAATTTAGTGGAGAGTATATGTGGTGTTTGTTTTTCCATTCTTGTGATACTTCACTTAGAAGAATGCTCTCCAGTTCCATCCAGGTTAATACAAGAGGTATTAGTTCACCTTTTTATGGTAGAGTAGTACTCCATGGCATACATATACCACATTTTACTAGTCCACTCATGTATTGATGGGGACTTGGGTTGTTTCACAAGTATGCAATTATGAATTGTGCTTCCATAAACATTCAAGTGTAGGTGTCTTTTTTATTTAATGTCTTTTTTTCCTGTGGTTAAATACCCGGTAGTGGGATTGCTGGATCAAATGGTAGTTCTACTTTTAGTTCTTTGAGGTATCTCCACACTCCTTTCCATAGAGGTTGTACTAGTTTGCAGTCCTACCAGCAGTGTATGAGTGTTCCTATCTCTCCACATTCATGACAACACTTGTTGTTTGGGGGGGTTTGATAAAAGGTATTTTCAATGGAGATAAGCGCTATCTCATTGTGGTTGTGATTTGCCCTTCCTTGATGATTAGAGATGTTGAGCAATTTTTCATGTTTTTTGGCCATTAGTCTTTCTACTTGTGACAAGTTTCTGTTCATGTCTTTTGCTCACTTTTTAATGGGGTTATTTGATTTTTTTCTTGCTGATTTTCTTGAGTTCTTTATAGATTCTTATTATCAGACCTTTATTGAATGTATTGCATGTAAATATTTTCTATCATTCTGTAGGTTGTCTGTTCACTCTAATAATTGTGTTTTTTTTGGCTGTGCAGGAGCTTTTTAATTTGGTCAGGTCTCTTTTTTTTTTTTTTTTTTTTTTAGTTTTTGCAATGGTTGCTTTTGGGGTCTTCTTAATAAATTCTTTGCCTAGTCTCATGTGTATAAGAGTTTTTTGAACATTTTATTCTAGAATCTTTATGATATATTGCCATACGTTTAAGTCTGTTATCCATCATGTGTTAATTTTTGTGAGCAGTGAAAGATGCAGACCCTGTTTCAGTCCTCCACATGTAGCTATCCAAGTTTCCCAGCACCATTTATTGAATAAGGATTCTTTTCCCCAATGTATGTTTTTGTCTGCTTTGTCAAAGATCTGATAGCAATATGATGATGGCTTTATATCTGTGTTCTCTTTCTTTGATCCATTGGTCTATGTCTCTGTTCTTGTGCCAGTATAATGCATCAATTATTGGAGCTTTGTAGTATAGCTTGAAGTCTGACAAATTGATGCTTCCCAAACTTGTCCTTTTTGCTTAAGATTGCTTTTGCTATGCAGGCTCTTCTGGTTCTATACAAAACATAGAATAATTTTTTCTAGACCTGAAAAAAATGTTGTTGCTATGTTAATAGGAATTACATTGAATATGCAGATCACTTTTGGTGGTATAGACATTTTAACAATGTTAATTCTGTCCATTCATTAGCGTGGTATGTTTTTCCATCTATTTATGTCTTCCTCTATTTCCTTCTTCAGTGTTTTATAGTTCTCCCTGTTGAGGCCTTTTACTTCCTTAGTTAAATATATTCCTAGGTATTTTATTTTCTTTTTTGCCATTGTGAAAGATAAGCTTAATCAGGAATGAAAAAGGAGAAGTTACAACTGATAGAGCAGAAATACAAAATATCAATCTCTGAATACTATAAAAATTTCTATGCACATAAACTTGAAAACATTGAATAAGTGGAAAGATTCTTAAAAACACACAGTTTCCCTTGGCTCATTCAGGAAGAAATAGAATTCCCGAACAGACCAATATCTAATACTGAAATTGAAGTAGCAATAAAAAAATCTTCCAACCAACAAAAGTGCTATAGCAGTTGATTTGACACCCAAATATTAACTGATCTACAAAGAACTGGTACTTATCCTAAAGAATGATCTTATAGCATTGAGAAGGAAGAAATCCTCCTTCACACATTTTATAAAGTCAACATCACCTTGATACCAAATCCAGGAAAAGATTCAACAACAACAACAAAAAAACTACAGACCAATATCCCTTATGAATATGATGCAAAAATTATTAGTAAAATCCTAGCAGACCAAATATAGCTGTTCATCAAAAAAAATAATCCATCAGAAAGATGTAGGCTTCATCCCTGAGATCAAGGGATGGTTCAACAGATGCAAATCTATAAATGTAATTTATCACCTAAATAGAAGTAAAAACAAAGACCATAAAATCCTCTTAATAGATGCAGGAAAAGCATTTGACAAAATTCAGCACCCTTTTATGATAAGAACACTTAACAAAATAGGCATAATCAGAACTTACCCCCAAATGATAAAACCCATATACTATAAACCCACATCCAATATCATATTTAACAGAGAAAAATTAAAGCATTCCTGCTTAGAACTGGAACCAGACATAGTTGCTTACTATCACTATCTATTCAACATAGTGCTATAAGTCCTATACAGAGCAAATAGGCAAGAGACGGAAATTAAGGGTACCCAAAAGAGGTCAAACTATCTCTCTTTGCTGATAATATGATCTTACATCTAGAAAACCTGAAAGATTCTAGCAAGGAAGTACTGGAATTGATAAATAAATTCAATAAAGTCTTAGGTTACAAAATCACTGCACACAAATCAGTAGCATTCATGTACACCAACCACAATCAAGCTGATAACCAAATTGAAAATTGACCTTTATAACTGTTTTAGCTTCATGAAAGTCCTACAGATTTTCCATACAAATGTACTTGAGAAAGATTTTGCAAATCAGATCAAGGAACTTTGATCTTATTCTATTTTCATGTAAGTTTGCACTCACAGTTTTATTTTTGACTTCTACAAAAGTTAATTAAAATTTGATTATATGCTATATTGTATACTATATGGTGAAACTCAAACTATAAAGCTAGGACATTGTTCTCAAGTCCTTATAGATTGAACAACCACTGCATAAACAATAATGTGCTCTTCATAAAGTGCCAGATGAACACATATCAAACCCAAATCGAAAGATTATTGATCATAAAATTTATTATCTTCAAAATTACATGACCTTTGAAATCAATGATAAACAATTATTTGTTATTCTAAGGAATAGTATACAGATTTTAATCCACCTTGTCAGTGAAAGAAACATATAAAAGTGTTTGGTGAATAAGTAACATTTAAATAAAACAATGGACACTGCTAAAAAACATTTAAAATGTACAGTTCATATATCAAAGTTCTATAACCAAATTAAAATGAAATGTGATATGTGCAAGTATATAACTATACATTACTCTCTCTATAAACTCTTTTTCAAATATTCCCCAATGTTTTTCACAGAAGAGCAGTGCTATGAAATATTTGAAAATTTGATATGCACAGAACACTTTAGAGTCATTGTGTTGTTTATCACATAAATGGAAATTTAAATCATTCCCTAGAGCTTAAATATTATAACTTTCATATTTAGTAAACCATATACAAACAGAAAATCATAAAAAAAATTTTATAAACACTTTAATGAATGCGTGGCCTTAATCTTATTAAGCTGGGAGTAGACTATAGTAAAATAAATGTATCTGTTATTATAAATTTATTGTAATAAATGATAATAAAATATTAAATTTAGTATCAAAATATTAATAGGAACTCCCTGGAAGATTATTATGTGCAAGACTTTCATGCATTTCTTTCCATTTAACCTTTCAAAATAGCTGTAAGAAGATTTTAGTGTATCAAAAATAAATAAGTAAATAATGTACACATATAAACATAATGTATTTCATCAATATTCCATGCTTATTCAGAGAAAGAAAATATGTTTTTTGAATATTCATGAAAATGTCTTTTGAGCTAGAATTTGAAGGACATTTGGGTTTTTCATAAGCCAATAAAAAGGATCAGAGGCAGAGGGAAATTTCATAAAGTTTGTGAGTTTGACATAAACAATGTCAGAAAATCAAAAAAGTATTATGATGATTTGAGATATTTGGATGGAACTATTGCCCTCAAATTTACCAACTTACATGGTAAAAATATATTTTATTCATATTTCTAATGTATAAAAGTTATATTTAGTAGATTAGGATCAAATATTTAGTAAAATCATTATATTCTTAAAGAATCTAAATAATATATGTCACGTGTATTTTAATGGATGTTTAGTATTTTTAGTTGGGGATTTTAATAATATAACTGGGCTTAAGTAGATTTTGTCCCATGATATTCTCATGTAAACATGTCTTTCAATAGAACAACATCCTATAGCACCTTTACTATACGTCCTTTTACTTTCTTGTGCACAGTCATATTTTTAATTATTAGTCTCCTGAGATGGTGAAAGAGAAATTGATTATTTTGGACAGAGAAAATTCAGGAATATGTTTTAAAGATAAAAATTTGAATTTGCATAATAACACTATTATTGCTGCATATAAACATAAATTTTTAAGAGCTTGTATTGTTGTAATATTTCAAGTTTATGAAACAATACTTGCTAGTATCAGATATGACATGTTTCCTACAAATTTATACAATTATTTACTCTGAATAGTTAAAAATTAAAAATCAAAAGCTAAACAAAATAAAAATGGCTCTTCTGTAAGAATTTTATGATTTGAACATATTAACATATGCTTTTGTTTTCTTAAACAAATGAAAATAAATTAATACTTTTTTATTATAATTCTCTCTATTTTACTTTTCCTTTTCAGGTGACACAAACATCTACTATTCATGATGTTAAACAAAAATTTCACAAAGCATGTAAGTTTTATGTATCATTCAGAGCTTATATTATAGTGGTTCTTTTTAACTTAATTCAAATTTATTTGTAAATGTAAGTGCAAAATAATGGTTGAAAGAGTGTATGGAAACCATATATTTATATGGAACTCAGAGGTAATATACTTAATACTTCTTACTTATAAAGATTATCCATCACATCTAATTCTCTAGGCGATCCTTTAATCTCAAATATATATATATATATTTTTTTTTTCCACAAAGTTGTTTTTAGCTCATACTTGAACTTTCTTTTATGCTAACTGGAAACTTCTTATATGTCAAAAGCATTAATTGATAAAAATACTTCTATTTGATCAGAATACTAAGCACATTTTTGCTTCATGTATTTATACTGGTAAAATTTCATTCACATAGAAATTCTTTATTTAAAATAATCCATTTATATTATAGTATTTAATTTTATCGGTAGCTAAATTTACCTTATAAACAAATCTTCTACTGTGATTTACTTAGACATATTTATATTGGGCATATTTCAAATAAATGTTTATATTTACACTTTTCTAATAAAATTAACCTCAAATGTTAAACATATTAACAATGTTTATAATTACTGGGCAGCATTTTTATGGACTTTATAGTTTAGAGCAGTTTTTAGTTTGTGAAATTATTGAACAGAAAGTACAGAGATTTTTTTCCATATACCGTGTGCCCCACACATGCATAGCCTGTTCCATTCCCCCAAGAGAGTCATACATTTGTTACAATTAATGCATCTATACATACTGGCAATCATAATAATGTAATTTCCACAATTTACATTAAGATTCATTCTTAGTGTTTTAAATTTATGTGTATTGCTAGGAAGCACTTTTAATACTTTTTGATTTGTTGAACAATGCTTATTTTGTGAAAATAATCCTTAAAATCACAATTTGGTAGTACCTGAGATTAAAATAGGTAGAGCTATTGCATTATTTTCTTTTAGGAATAATATAGACTATTTACTATTAAATACATTTCTTTTGAGTTATTTATATCTTAGAATAAACATGGATCTTATTAAACTGGTAATAGTATTGCCATCTTCAAAAATATTTAGACCAATTCTAATAAAGTGGCTTCAGATTGTTTACATTGTAGTAATAAGTAAGAAAGCCTTTGAAAGTGACTTTTTTACTATAAAGTAGAATGCAACAAAATGATTATATTTAAAAAATAATGACATAATAAATATATTATTCCAATTGTTGGAAAATGAGTACCTGAATCAAAGGCTAATCTATGTGTAAAAGAATGTGTAGTTGCCTTGCTGAATATGTGTAACTACTTTTACAATAATTTGTGTTAATTAATAGACACATAACAATTATATGGAATCTTAAAATTGTAAAGCTAGAATTTCTTTATTTCTTTCTTACATGATTCAGAGATTCTTAAGAAAGTGAATTTAATGAGGTTACAGAAAATGCTAGAAACTACCATCTGAAAAACAGAAAAATTGGATAATTGACCATTTGAACATAGTATGGTTAGTTTTAATAGCTATGTCAAGACTTAAGGATTTATTGATAAGTATTCTTTTATTCACTTTTGTAATCACAGTTCTAAACTTTAACAGCTGTACATAATTTGTTACCTTATCCACTTTCTCAAAATTACATTACTTTCAAAAGTCAATTCAGTTGTACATTATATTTAATATAATATATATATTTAATATGTTTTTCAAATTGTGAAAGACATGAAAATTACTGCTAATCCTGAAAATCTGTGACCATTTGAACAATAGTGGGAAAAAAACAACAAAAGTGGTATAATGATTTCCTTAAGATCTTATTTTTTAGCATATTTTAAAACTAGATAACATTGAACACCTATTCAAATACATAAATATATATTAAAAAATTAATCATTTACATATGAAGTACAATTGTCAAGTTTTTACAAACTTACTTTCTAATTTTTGACATCCCATTAATTTTTTATGCCATTTCTGCAGTTGTTTATTTTCAGGTTCTGGAGTTATAAAAGGAATTTAATCTCAGGGGGAAAAAAAAAGAAAAAAAAAAGGTTCTTATCAGAAAACTGTATTTCCTAGAGGCTGAATTCTCCTTACATGCCTTTTATCTCTATCCTTTGTTCTCATAGGTGTTCTGTCTAATGATGTTGATAAATGTTCTTCCTACTCTTTCTCTGACTTGTGTTGCTTTACACTTTCTTAGTTCTATTTTAGTGCTTTCTTTGGTGTGATTTTTCTTTTCCTGTGGAATACGCATCTTAACGTTCTTCCAAGGTTCATAATTTTTTATTTCTACTTTGTTGTAAGAGTCATCTTTTAAATTATATAATTGACACCAGAGCAAATCAGAGAAGTAAAAATATATAATAAATATCCATAATAATAAATATTATGGATACTTATTTGAGAAGGAAGTTTTAATACCATTTTGGTCAATTATTAAGTAGCAAATGCTTTTTAGTGGTTCTAGATCATGTTTCTTTTTAAATTATCAAAATTATATAAGATGCTTAAAGATTAAATAAGGAAAAACATAAGAAATAAAACCATATCAAATTAGAGTGATATATGGCATTTTCTACTCACTAATTTCCCATGGACTACTGAAATACTTGTCAATTGATAAAAATATTTGTGTTTAAGATGACTGGAGAAAATTATGAATAGTTAAGAATATGAAAAGAAAAACTTTTTGCTTGTGACATTTCTCTTACTATTGCTCTTTTTTTCTGTGCTCAAATCTAGATGTGTCCAAGAAATTATTAGAATCCCTGAGCTTTTCAGACTTTAACATTCAAAAACTTCACTCTCTTAGCTTCCATTGGCATCCTTGGGCTGGTGAGATCTGTTTTTATTGGAGAACCTATTTCCAAAACCTATAAGGTTTATCTCCACAAAACTATTCCCTGATATTTAACATCTATATTTCTTCTTCAAATGAGTTTCTTTTTGTTAAATTTCTTATTTGCTATCAATGTTTTAGCATCATTTTATCAGTTTTTTTTCTTGGTTTCTTGGATAACTGAATCACCATTAAAAGTGTTTTTTAAGTGTCTCTTATCCAGAATATTCCTATTTCTCCTTCTATGTTGGCTCACACCTTTTTATACTAGTTGGACTCATATTTCTCTTTTAAAAGAACTCATGGAATGACCAAGAAATGTATAGCTTTTTGCTCTCTATGAGAATTTCCTTGATTCCTCCAATCTATACCCCTATTTTTATATATAATTTAAAATTATAGTTAACCTCAAAGTTGAGCACATATTATTTAATACTATACATTATAATATTTCACTACTTTGAATTAACATTTATAATAATCATGAAGATAAATATAATTAACTTTTGTCAGTCACTCAGTGTCATGAACCAGAGAGATAGTTCTAGTGTAGCAAAGTTTTAAAATACTGATGACAACCATGTAATAATTAAATGCTTTTATTATGTTCATGTTACAGATAAAAGTCTTTAAAGAAATGTTATGTAACTTACCCAAGATCACATAACTAATGAGTGGCAGAGTTGGAATTTAAACTCAGGCAACATGACTCTGTACCCTGTACTATAACCACTAACATTCATTGCTTCTATTTTACTGAATCATATTTTTCATTAATTTCTTCAGAGAAAAGTTCCAACAGTACCTGTTTATTTTACTTGAGAAATGTTATCATTAGTCCTCATTTTCAAATAGAAAACCATAAAGTTTGTTTTAGAAATTGCATAATAAATAATAGTGCTGAAAATCTAAACATAATTTACAATTGGTTACAATAATTTAAATCCCAGTTAAGGTCATATGACAGCTTAAGAAAAACTAGTAAATTAAAAACAGCAGTTAATATAAGTGAAAGAGTAGAATGCAAATATAGCTTGAAATCACTAATGGAATATTCTCCTGTGAGATTCATCTTAGAATTAGTAATACATGAACTGAAATGAAAAGTCAGTGAATGATAAACAGCTGACATGTAATTTGTACACTGATTCTGTGTCATAAAAGAAGTTTCAGTAAAAAAAAAAAAAGGAAGATCATTTTACTGATGACTTATGTGCTATCTGTTAGTTGAGAAGACCCATCAAAAGTTTCAATGACGTTTATTATCTGTTGGACTACTTGTCTCTGCAGTTCCCAAAAAGAACCATGGGAAACAAAGCAAAGGAAAGAACAATGGAATTAGCAGGACTATTGTAGTTTCAGTTACGTGAAGGGATATATAATTTATTGTGACAGCTGAAATGCATATAAATCTTTGCCAAAAAAGCTAGGGGGATATAAATAATGCTAAACCATAAAAGATTCAAAGAGAGTAAGTCAGGACAAAGATAACAGAGCAGGATTTATTACATATAGTATAGAATAATGAGTGTTCTCTAGGCAATCTGGGAAAGAGCCTCCTGGACAAGGCAGTAGAATTCCCCGAATTCTCAACAAAGGAAGCTGGAAAAATGATAAATGCAACCAATGAAAGAAGTGGCAGAATGCTTTTTTCAAAAAGTCCTGTACTGCTAACTCAAGAAGTAGCTAATGTTCTTTCTATAATAATTCATTTAGTAGAAAAAAGTATGAGCCTTGTCAAAAATTTAGATGTAGAAAAGAGGTAAATTGTCACATTATTCATAATTATTCTTTAATAAAAGGCATGACTACATTTTATAAAAGCCATGGCATTTACAAAGCTGTGGCCATTCCAAGAATCTTTTAGGAACTTTAGTCAGTAAGGTCCAATAAGGCCCTATTACTAGTGAGCAGCAATATCATCATTTTTTTACATAGTACATTTTATTCCTCTTTTTTCATTGATTTCAAGATGGAGATATGTTAACAAAATCTGTTAGTGTTGATGGTCTGGTCATTGAAGAAATTCTAACAAATGTGTCTGCTGGAAAAAATGAAACGGAATTATATATCCGCTTATGAGCTGGGCATAGTAAAAGAATTCTCAGTTAACTGCATCTTCAATGAAGTTCAAGTAAATGTTTCAGGAAAAAA